GGGGGGGGGGGGTGTTAGCCCCTTGAGGTGTGCTCAGTAGTGCCAGGACGAGGAAAAGTATGGGGAAGGGAACTACACTTACCAAGTGCCGCCCTGGCTGGAGGGCCAGGGGTTTCCCATCCTTCCACCAGGTGACTGTGGGCTTTGGGTGGCCAGAGGGCGGTTCACATTCCAGGGTCACCTGCTGGCCCACTGTGGCCACCGTGTCCTGAGGCTGGACCTGGAAATCCTCCAGAAGGGCTGTGGGGAGAAGGGAGGCTCTGCAGGGAGCAGCGCCCACCTTCCCCTCCCCAAAGGGCCCCCTTGGTGTCTCCTACCACACCTACTCCATTCTACTTTTTCACTGACAGCGTCCACTCTTCAGAGCCCCCCTCCCAGGTGTTCCACCTGGGTTTGCTCTCAACTCAGCTCCCCCCTCCCATTTCCCAGCCTGAATCTCCCCCCACAGGTGTCCCTTCAAATCTCCCTCGCCGAGGGCACATCACCCAGGTGTGCCCCAGCCTGGGCTCCCTTCCCAGGCCTCACCAGCCACAGACAGCTGAGCACCGTTGCTCACGGCTGTGCCCAGCTGGTTGCTGGCCTCACATGTGTAGATGCCCAGGTCTGAGGGTAGGGCCTGGTTGTCGCGAGCGTGTCCCCGGGCAGGGGGCCGCCACAGCAGCAGGGTTCCATCAGGTTGGAGGTCGTATATGTATGGGGGCCCCATGCTCAGGGGCTGCCCATTCAGCAGCCAGCGGATGGTGGGAGGTGGCTGGCCTGAGGCTTGGCAGCTCATCTTGGCGGGGCCAGGGCCCTGGAGCAGCTGGTCCTGTGGGTGGACTAGGATCTGGGGTGGAAAGTCCTGAGCTGTGCCTCCTGGAAGGGAAAAAGAGGTGGAGCCCTGTCTGACTCCCACCAGGCCCCCAGATCCCTGCATTCCTCATCTGCCTTCTCTCATCTGGAGATCAATTCAAAGAGGAGGAGCCTTTTGAACTCTCCGTCTGTTTGTCTCACACATACATCATCATCATCATCATCATCATCGTCTCTTGTACCCTTACCACAAAGGGAGGCAAAGGAGCAAGGGGGCGCTTCTTTCCTGGCCAGGCCTTGGATCAAGGGAGGGCGGGCTAGCAGAGGGGCGGCCACACTCACCCACGCGGAGCAGAAGCAGGAGAGGCAGGGGCCAGCGGACCCCAAGGAGACCCACTCCTCCGGAGCCCATGGCTGCCCTCAGGTCTCTGTCCTGGTCCCAAGCACTCTGTCCGGCTGCTCTGAGCTCACAGCGAGGGAAGGAGGGGCGGGCGGGCGGTGGTGGTTGTTTGTGGCTGAGGCTGCCCCAGAGGGAAGCAGCTTTGAGGAAACCAATGCTTCCTGCCTGGCCTCGGTGCCTTGAAGAACTGGGAGGAGCCCAGAGGAGAGAAGTTCTCTGACCCTGACCCTCTGGCCACAACCCTTGACTCCAACCCTAGCCTTAGGGTTTACCTTGTGATCTAGTCTGAGATTTCTTAACGGTAATCTTCACACTGCAGGGACTCTAACCACAGCCTTGAACCTTAACCCTAAGCCTGCATTTACGCCTCGAGTCATTCTTATCTGCTTCCCAGCGACCCTCGCTAGAGCAGGATAGAAACCCAGAGGTGGGATCTCAGGGCACAGCAGGAAGGAGCCCAAGACAGAGGACAGTGAGCCGTGGGCTGAGGAAACTGAGTGGAGTGGAGTGGTCACTCCTTGGCTCACTCATTCCCCGAGGACTGAGGGGCAGGGGCTGAGCAGGCCAGAGGTAGGAAGGATTCAGAGGCTCTGGGACAAGCTGGAGATGTCACTGTGTGTTCCTATTCAGCTCAGAGATAGATGGAATAAGCTTCTGGAAGACCTTGGGCACGTTCCTTAACCCCAGTAAGTCACTTACCTGTGTGTGGGAATAATAATAGTAGCTTGTACTTTGAGGACTGCAGTAGGGACGAGATGCGATAAAACATAAACAACTTTGTATGGTAACCTAATGTATTATAAGCGATCAGCTTACGCAATATTGTTATTTTTATGCACATCCCATCAGTACTATTCAAGCATCCTGGGCAGGGGTACTTTTCAGGCCCAGGGATGGGGTTTGAGTCTGATCTTGAAGAGTCTTTGCAGCCCTGAAACCTGTGTCTGCTGCAGACAGGCCTGTAGCTTCTGAGCCTGAAGTGTCAGGACTCACACTCCTG